ATGGTTGGTAGTACCCACAAATGTGGACAACCAAACTGTTTGTTTCCTGTGGAGGAGGGCATGCAGTGTGACGAATGGAATAAATGGTTCCACAAAATGTGCACCCGTTTAAGTCCCACTGCATATAAAAGATGTTCGAAGCCTAACTCACATTGGCTTTGCATGTTCTGCTGTGCCAACAAGGCATTACTAATACAGGAGGCTATGAGCCTATTGGCTTTGGCCTGTAAGAAGAATGATGGCATATGCGCCGACAACACGGGCACTAACAGTGACGAATGTGTCAGTGTTGTTACGCGACGCCTTAAACAACCGACTCTGACCGACGTAAAAGTGAAATCTCCGTTGATATTAACAGGGGGAGTAGTACCACCTAGTACTGATATTGGTAATAATGCACCTTTAGTGGGAACCGAAGATCTGGATAAAACAGTCACCGTTCCAAATAGTCCCAGTGTTATGAGGGATGAAAAATGGACTACGGTACGTAGGAAACGAAACGAAAAAAAAAGCTGTAAGCAGTACACAGGTAGTTAGTAACTCACTGGTGGACTCAAATTGTGAGCCACAAATTGCTCTACCAAGATCTGATGGTAAGAGTGAAACCCATCCTGGCGTAACTGAGAAGAAAAATCTAATAACATCGAATATTATTGTGAACAAATTGCGGGAGTCAAATGACCCTGATCCGAAAATTAGACACGCGCATGACTTAGAAAAGCTAGGAGAATACATTCGTAGTATTTTACCAGATAACTGCAAAGGAGTTCAGGTTAAAAAGTTGGTAAGAATAGGCAAGAGGACCAAGGACAATGTTGAACACCGTCCATGCAGACTCCTTAAGGTAATCCTAGGATCGGAGAAGCAACGGGATCTCTTGTTAAGTAGCGCTCGTTGTCACGACAATTCTGACATCCGAGTTAGACCTGACATATCTCTCGAAGATAGAATAAAAAGGAAGAAAGCACTAGCTGAACTTGAAACCCGTCGGCAAAACGGCGAGGAAAATCCCCGGCTAGTGGGTTTTCGGATAGTCAGGTCTTGGAAGTGAATGCTACCAAGGCCTGTGTGGATAGGCTGTTCTACTTAGGGGTTTTATATGCCAACGCTCGTAGTCTACGAAATAAGTTCTATGAACTAGAAGCACTAGTGGACAGGTTAAAGCCACTCATAGTAGCAGTGACAGAAACTTGGTTAGTCGATGACTTAGACATTACTCCAGAATTATCCGGATTCCATTGCATCAGGAGTGAAAGACATAGATGTAGGAAAGGAGGCGGCGTCCTGTTATACATAGACAATAGCATAAATATCCGCTCCTCTACTAGCGAATCCCATGATAGCGGCACTTGTGAAGTCATTAGCTGTAAGTTGGCTATAGGATGTAGTACATTTATGCTAGGTGTCATCTATCGGAGCCCAATCTGCCTAGCTGATGACTTTGTTTTAGAGCACATTCATCTTTGGAGTGAAAATACCAGATGTTTGATAATAGGAGACTTCAACGCACCTGATATTAGTTGGACTGATATGACCACAGAAGGATCTATAAACTCCTTTGATAGCAAGTTCCTGATAACAATAATGGAGCATGCACTAGTACAGCATGTATCCCAACTCACACGTTTTGGTGTTAACCAGGGTTCTTCTCTACTGGATTTGGTAATCACTCATGAGACTGAGGATATTGTCGACTTAAATATTCTCCCGCCGTTAGTGAACAGCGACCACGCTGTTTTGTCATTCACGTTTCGAACTAGCGACATGTTATACGATCAGGTTACACCGCACCCAAATGTATGGAAAGCTAACATATCAGCCATTCAGGAATGCGCTGCTAAGACAGATTGGTTAGTAGATACTAGCATATCAGTTGAAGAAGCATGGTCTGTATTTAAAGGTAAATTTAGACTAGTTACGTCCCCGTTCATACCATACCTGGTACCGCGAATACCGAATAATAGTCCACCATGGATAACTAAAACGGTCAGGAAACTCCTTAGAAAAAGGAAGAATCACTGGGATATGTCCATCTCTACTGGCTTAGAACAATACAGATCCAGTTATTGTAAGATTAGGAATGCCAGTAAAGCGTTAATAAGTAAGACTAGACTATCATACGAAAAACAATTAGTTAGGGATTCTAGATATAGTACTAAACGGTTATTCTCGTATATAAAAAGGCGAACTAAGAGAAGTGATGGAATTCCATCACTTTTGATGCGAGAAAATCCGTTAATCTTAGCAGAGAATGATGCCGAAAAAGCTGAAGCTTTATCGGAATACTTTAGTAAAGTGTTTTCTATCAGTAATGAGGAACGACCAATGATTCGTCGCGACCGTGACGGCTCGCTGATGGATCCTGTAGTCATTGAGAAAGATACTGTTTTAAGGCTACTCCAGCATCTCAAACCTGATAAGTCCAGTGGTCCTGACGATATTCATCCTAGGATTATGAAAGCCATATCAGATGAAATTGCTGAACCATTGGCGACACTATTCGACATGTCTCTGAGACAGTCCAGACCTCCTAGAGACTGGAAAGACGCTATAATAAGTCCGGTGTATAAGGCTGGGGGTAGGGATTTAGTTAGTAACTATAGACCCGTTAGCTTGACTAGTGCAGTTGTAAAACTGATGGAGAAAATCATTCGGATAGCTGTTATAAACTATGTTGAAGGGCAAAATCTTTTCTCCAGGGAACAACATGGTTTTCGGAAAGGCCTATCTTGCTTGACAAATCTTCTCATTGCACGAGAAGATTGGGCTGCGGCAAAGGATCGGAATGCTCCTGTGGATGTGATTTTCATAGATCTAAGTAAAGCCTTTGGTAAGGTTTCCCACTCTGGTCTTAAATCCAAACTGAAACGTTTTGGAATCCACTATACATTCGTCGATTGGATAAGTAACTTTCTCCATGACAGGAGACAAAGGGTAAGGGTTAATGAGGCTCTCTCCTCGTGGGTACCTGTAAAAAGTGGGGTTCCCCAAGGTACAATCCTGGGTCCTCTTCTCTTTTTACTTTATGTAAATGAATTGCCAACTGTAGCAAAATCATCCGTTCTACTCTTCGCTGATGACATAAAGATTTGGAGACCCATACATAGTATGTCGGATAGGATAGTATTACAGAACGATCTTAGCTCATTGGTGGCATGGTTAGATAGGTGGTCACTAGAAGTAAATCCTAATGAGAGTGTAGTGATGCAGTTAAATAACTCTGATGAATCGTATGACTATACACTACGTGGATTCGTGCTACCCAAAGTAAGAAACTATAAAGATTTAGGAGTCATATTAAGCAATGATCTCAAAACGACTAGTCACTGTAAAGCTGCTGCTGCGAAAGGCTATAGGGTATTATGGTCAATTCGTAGTTCTTTCCAGTATTTAGATGATGAAATGTTTAGATTACTATACCCGATTTATGAGCGACCACATTTAGAATACGGGATTCAAGCAGTGAGTCCTTGTTTCAAATATGAAGCAGATATGCTAGAAAGAGTCCAACGACGAGCTACTAAGATGGTACAAGGTCTATCTGGCCTATCTTATGAAGACAAACTGAGACACCTTAACTTATTTCCGTTATCTTACCGTAGAATGAGGGGTGATCTAATATTGGCCTATCGTATACTGAACGATGACCTTGGTATTAACATGTCTTATCTTTTGCTTCCGTCTAGAACCGATCATTTGAGAGGACATTCGAAGAAAGTTCAAAAACCGATATCAAACCGTTTACGTCTGGAGTTCCGTTTCTCCAACCGAGTAGTGAATTACTGGAATTCTCTACCGGAACACGTAATATCAGCTCCATCTGTTAATATATTCAAAACGAGATTGGACCTCCACAGTATTACAAACTGCAAGGATTAATATAGGTCGACAGACCTCCTATCCTTATTACGGAAGACTGAAGAAGACTGAAGACTGATAACATCTTATTATGAGTTACGTATTTCTTTTTTTCCTATTCTTTTGTAGTTAATATACCTAGGCACCTGCTCGGAGGCGTTGGTGATCCTCTGCTACTAGAGACGGAAGCCTGTTAAGCGAAAGCTTCATCTATTTCGTCCACAACCATTTGAACTACTTGGCTACTTACTAGTCTGGCGGGTTTTTGAATCGGTTGGTTTTGATTGGTATATCATATTGAACCTCCCACACAGTATATTGGCAACCCATTGTGCAGAAGTGTTTGACAGTGCGGTTAAGAAAAATTAATCAGTCTGTGTTAATTCTATCACGATACTAGACATCAATACTTTTCTTAGATTACTAGACATGAAGGATGGGATTTAATGTAAAAAGGACAGAGCAAAAAGAACAAAGTTTGAAAGGTGGATAACTAGGAGTCGACTGGGACCCAAGTCGGTCACTTTGCCTGTCCTTACAAGTTCATGTATTTCAAGAAGGCGACTGCTATAGCAGCCGATATAAATAAACATGAACAAACGCGTAATATTAAAGCTGAGTATGATGTTTACCTGCAAAGGACGTGTTAATGTGCTTGTGGAGTTGTTGGTGCATTCACTTCTGAGTATTTCTACTAAATGCTTGTGTAATTTATAGATATGGACACATATATATGCTTATATGCATTTGCTGTATCTGACGACTTGTCTTGGCAATTAGTTCGCGGTTTATAATGGTTGATAGCTTAGGTAAGAGTTGTGCGATCCAAGTCAGAGCTTCTGAATTGTTTATTTTGCATGTTTTTCAGACCCTATTATTTCTGGGTCCTATCTTTATTTACTGTTTATCGAGTTAATTAATTTATGTGCTTTGCATCCTCACGTCACCTGTGGATGATATAAGTTAGTGGTCGCTGTATAGTATATCTGATTTTTCGATGCTACATCCTTATGACATTGCGTTTCGTTTCTGCTATACAGGTTGAGTACCTATATACCCTATAACGTCGTCTCTGTTCTTAATTATGAAACATCGGTATGTGGGTATGTGGTGTGTCTTTATGCATTATTCTCTTTTCATTTCACCACCTCTCATACAAGTCACTTTTCTAGTTACCCGGTGGGTAATTAGTGCTCACTAGTGGAATTCTCATCTCAATCTCTTACCAGGTCTTCCGCAACCATTATGGTGGTTGAAATTGTGCAATAATGGTTTGTTAAAACTGTTCCAAAGCCAATTATTTGGTCGGTACATAATAGTTATGCTGTTTATTTCAGATTGTGCAATTGACAAGTGAGCACTATGAAAACCATGAAGATGTAGTTGTCACAGTGTTATAGGAACACCAAGTAATTAGATAAGCGGAGTTAATTGACAAATTCGTTTATTTTACGCTTAGTTGTAGTAGATATTTAAAACAGGAAAGTAGCACAATGAAGTCAATCTTAGAAATTTATTCACACCCGGATGATAGCCTACGAATATATTCAGTCTGTTCAGTAATCTGTATAAAAGCAGTAGAACTTAAGCCGTAAAAATGTGTTAGTTATAACCACCCAATTTGAAAGCTGTATCATAGCCCCAGTAGGGTTCAAAGATTTCCTGCACGTTCAGTCATCTTGATGGCTTAGAGTATTAATTCTGGACTTCTTGAAGATGTTCTGTCGTAAGTTATGATTTTTTAAACACAATACACAATACTGAGAAATAATTTAAAATTTGACACATTTTTTCAACTAGATCAGATCAGCTCAGCATATATTTATTTCAACGAATATTCATATCTTTAAATTTACTGCCTGCAGAAGTGTTGATAATATCTATTATGAATTAGCTAAGTGTACTACTAGAAAGACCAATGCATATTTTCCGTTTTTTGGTGGTTGAAAATTTAAAGAATATGATTGGGGTCAAGTCCTACACTATTTCAGCTTCTTATTTGTTCTTGATCTTAGCTTCAGCTGGAAAATGTTAAGCTCCTGAATCTGTTTTGTATTTATCTAACTTGGGATGCCGGGTAACCTTGGGAACTTTGAGGTGATAGAGCTGTCAATGTTGAAGAAACATATGTTTTTTCCTCTTTCTGGTTTGGGGAATTTTACTGCTCAGACTTTATTATATCCATTCGTCTTGCTTCGTACAAGACTTCAACTTCAGGAAGGTGCCCAGGTTTATCGTGGTCTTGTACATGCAATTTCTTCTGTTGTCAAAGAAGAGGGTTTTCGAGGATTGTATAGTGGCTACTTGGTCCGATCATTTCACATATTCTCAGGTGGGCTGCTTCTTTCTGTTGTGTAGGCTTTAGTTCTGGTGCCGAAAATCACTAGAACGGCCTTTTACATACTTAGGTGGCTGTTCTACCTTTTTAATTTTTTTAAAATAAACACTTAATCTCAACTTTTAATTATATCCTTGTTAAATAATGTATTCGTCATGAACGTCAATAAGCATTACATACATAATATTTTGGAGACGATTAACGTCATCAACTTGTCTTGAGAGAAGTCCGTCGCAGCAAGATATAATTCCATATATAAATATCCGATGAAAAAATAGTGTTTAAAAGTTTCTTATCAGTTGTAGGAGTTTACTTTAGTCAGCCAGTCAGTCATAATCAACATAGAACGTATCACAAATGTGTATTGGTTGTTATAGTAAAAAGGTTAGGCGGCGAGAATAGGATTTGAGAATAGTGAACAAATGTGCGGAATGAAAGGTTAATGATAATTTCGAAGCTCGGGGTCTAGGTGTAGACAAAGAATGAGTGATTCTGTTTCGTTGCTACTGATTTTAAGTAATATATAGCACCTTCAACAGTTAGTCACAATAATCGCACGAGACTCAACCAGATAATTTGCGCTTAATAACATGGCTCAGACCAACAGTCAGTAACTTCCTTCTACATCTTTGTTTAGCTGCCTCTTATTTATTTATTTGTTTATTTGAACACATAAACATAGGTACAAGAGGTCACCGAGCATATATGCGCCACATTAATAACAATAAGGTCAGTAGTAGTTATTATTGGTTTGTGTGAGGGCTATGATACTATCTGGATGCCCAAACCGAGGCAGGTGGTTTTTTTAGGGAGCCACACCCATAGCCTTTGACATAGAGGTCTAATCCACAAGGCAGTTGGGCGACGATAATAGATGCAGTCCTATGGTAGTCGGTGGCCAACAATAAGTTCATACGCTACTTATTACTTCAGGATCCTGAAACCCATATGCACCATTGGTTTAGAACCAAGGTTCTCCAACTCTTCTAGATGGACCCTCTGTGTCCGTCAACCCTGTTAAAACGCCGGACATTCGCTTTTCGTCCTCTAAATTTCGTAAATAACACCCCGAACACAGGAAGGTAATGAGTAAGACTTCCATATCAGTGGCTGTATACGCGTGGCCATGTGAGAGCATTTGGAGACGAAGAGTGAACACTCTCCACCCTCGACTAACACTCACTAACATGCATTCATGAGCCATCAGAGACCCTATTTTCGAAATTGCCAACTTGGTGAATTGGAATAAGACGTTAGTTCTCAAATAATTAATTAAAACTCAGTGCATTAAGTGATCCTCCACAATCAGTCAGTCAGTCAGTAACAACGTAGAACTTCGTACGTACGTACATCAGTTCGAGTTGCCACACCACATTAGCACAGAGATGCACTTGTCGATTCAAATCCCGTAGTGATAGAGGTAATAAGAGTATAAGCAGTAATCGGGAAGATCCTCCACAATAAACAAATTAGCCTATTTTTTAAGACCTCTTATATACATTGGTTTTGGGACCCTTCATGGTCATTTAGCTATGCAGAGTTTGCGGTAAGGAATTTTTTTTAATTTGGTGTGGGTTGGTTTAAGACAAATACATCTATGTTTTTATCTCATGTTTATTGTCTTATCAGCACTGAACGTTATGGCTACGTCGTTTTTCTTTCGGGATTTGGTTGAAAAATGTTATAATTTACCCAAGTTTTCTCATATTTCCTCCCTCAGTCAGTCATACGCCGTTTATAACCTAACATGTATGTGTATCGGTTCAAGTTGCCATAACATAGCTGGATGAGATAAAGTTATCAAGACAAATCTCAGAGTAGTAAAATTAGTAGTAGTCGTAGTCAGTCAGTCAGTAACAACGTAGAACTTCGCACGTACGTACATCAGTTCGAGTTGCCATAACACATTAGCACAGAGATGCAGTTGTCGATTCAAATCCCATAGTGGTAGAGGTAGTAAGAGTATAAGCAGTAATCGGAAAGATTAGGTTTTGAAGATGTTATTCAAGGAGTATAATACAGCGAAATAAATTTGAAAAGAGGGAAAGAGGAACATAGCACGTCGAGGCAGTCGGTCGTTGGGCATACGTAACACGTGTCCCAGCCATCTCAACTGATGAAGTTTCACTACTTCATCAATTGATTTGCCATCCTTACCTAGTACCCGTTTCCTAACAATTGTGTTACTTACTCTATGGTCCCATGATATACGAGCAATGTTTCGAAGACACCTATGATCGAATACTAGTAACTTACGAATATCCTCTACTCTTACCGGCCATGTTTCACTGCCATAAAGTAGGACGGAACGAACTGCTGCGCAGTAAACACGTCCTTTGGTTGATAGACGGATATCTCGCCTACGCCATAAATGACGCATGTTGGCCAAAGGTAGTCGAGCCTTCTGTATACGTGCTGAGATTTCGTCACACACCAAACCACAAGGGCTGATGAGACTTCCAAGATAAGTGAAGCGGTCGACACACTCAATTACTTCACTCCCTATCATTAGTTTTGGTGTCGATGCAACCCAATCCTGAAGCAACATTTTGCATTTCGAGGGGGAGAATCGCATCCCGAACATGCTAGCATTGTTGCTTAGAGTGGTCAGAAGACTGGATTTTGTCAGCGTCTTCACCAAATAGAACTATGTCATCGGCATACTCTAAGTCAACAAGTGAATCTCCCGGTATAAGTTCAAGCCCTGGAAATCTAGATGAGGGAACTGTCATCTCTAAAAGCACGTCAAAAACAAAGTTGAACAAGAATGGAGAGAGTGGACAGCCCTGACGAACACCACTTGAGGTAATCAATTCTGATGACAATTCGCCATAAGTTCTCACTCGACCAGTTGTGTTCGAGTAGAGAGCCTTTACAAGGTTAATGTACTTCTTCGGTACTCCTTTCAGTGACAAACATTGCCACAGAACCTCACGATCAACAGAGTCGAATGCCGCCTTAAGGTCGAGAAATACTACGATTGTGGGACGTCTGAATGTGTGTCTGTGTTCTAGAACATGACGTAATGTGAATATCTGGTCTGTACAACCACGTCCAGGTCAGAAACCAGCCTGATTTTCTCTAGTCTGCTCTTCACGAGATTTGGCTAGGCGTCAAAGTATTATTGAAGCTAATATTTGGGACACTATATTAGTCTAACTAATTTCTCTGTGATTGTCACAAAAGGACTTTTGTCCTTTCTTATAGACTGGGACAATCAGTGATTGAGACCAGTCAGATGGGATTACGTCCAGTTCCCAAATCCTACCTAAGACCTCAGTCAATCTCACTGCTAATACTGGACCACCATCCTTAAAAATCTCAGGAGTAAACCTGTCAGAGCCTGCTGCTCTCTCCCTTGCTTCGGATTTCCTATAGCTTATTCAACTTCGTAAAGAGTCGGAGGAACTGCATTAACTTGTCATTCAGGTTGACTGGAGATCGTGGGAAACCGCAGTGTAGTTGAAGGCCAGTTGAACTGATCCCTAAAGTGTTCTGCCCATCGATCCAATCTCCTGGATTGAGAATGAATAATATGTTCATCTTTCTCTGAGATTGTTTCGCTAACAGTCGGGTTCCTAATACCAGTTTCCTTAACAAGTCTGAACAGTTGTCTGCTATTACCTATTGCCGCTGCCTTTTCCATCTCTCTTGCTTTCGCTACCCACCACTGTTCGCGATCATTGCGTAGACTTCTTGTCACCTTGTGCTTAAGCTGACTCCGCTCTTCATTATGTTCAGAGCCAGATGGAATGAGTTGTCGTAGCTGAAAAGACGGTATTGAAAAAGTGGTTTTCCCTCTGATATTAGGTCGTGGGAGTATTCAAAATATTGTGTGACGGATCTTCGTTTTTTTAAAATTAGTTTTTAAATTAATTTCTATTCTTAACTAGGTACTATCTACGTTTCCACATATGAAGTAGCCAGACAAGCATGTACAGTCTTTCCAGCACTAAGTCCTGTTCATCGATCTTTTGTTGGTGGTGCAGTGGCTTCATGTATTGCTCAAGGTTTTTTCGTTCCGATTGATGTTGTGTCTCAACACTTAATGGTTGTGAATTGTAATCGTGTTCATGCAAATATGGTCAACAAAAATTCAAATCTATCATTTAACCCACACCGTTTTCGTCCATTAACTCCGGTTCATTTAACACAAAATGAAATGAATTCCAATTGGGGTCGTCTTTGTGGCGTAATTCGTTATATTAAACAGACTCACGGGTTAAAAGGTTTCTACAAAGGTTGTTTAATATCTATGTGCACTTTTGTACCTAGTTCGGCATTGTGGTGGTCTTTTTATGATAAATTTTGTAGTAAGTTGTTTAAAGTTGTTATTCTAACCATTATTATTATGCATAATTGGTCGATAGTAGCTCCTGTACTGGCTCGATAATAGTGCTCGCTTATCTTGACAACCCAGTTGAACTTTATTACCTGTATCATATATTCTCTATGACCCTACTATACTAACCATGTTTACCGGAAATGTTCCTGGTCCTACGTTGTAGCTGACTGACTGACTCAGTGCGTTTATTTTCTTCATTCCCAGAGGTTAGACTAAGTGTTAACACAGATGAATTGTGGAGTAACGGAAAGGGGAAACATATTTGAAATATGACTACATTGTCGTCTAGGTTGTTCAAAAGGTTGTGTTTTGTCGTATTTAATTCAGTGTTATCCTCATACTCTGGTTTGTTTGGGGGATGTCAAAGTAGGAATCTTACCCTTGAAAAGTAAACTACGAAATTATCATTTCTAGAAGTGTATTTGATTAAGTTGGATAACATCAGAAAAGTGGAAAGCCCTGACAACAACCACTTGATGTAACCAATTATTACTAAGTTCACCATAGGCTGCGGTGCAACCAATGATTTTCAGCAAAAAATCCTTCATAAGTTAACGTACTTCTTTAGTCCGTTTTTTAACTACGGATGTCTCCATAAAACCTGTTAACCAACAGAGTCAAGGGCAACTTTAAAGTCAAGAGCTATAAATATTGTCAGGTGCCGGCAGGTATATTCATATTCCAAAACCTGAAGAGGGGTGAACACTTGATCGACACACCCAAATGTGAAACCTGTTTAGTTTTCTCAAAGTCTCTGTTCCCGAGCTCTTAAATTCTTAAATACTCAAGAACTAATCCTAAGGAACTCTGAATATTATAAGAAGTGTAAAAAACGGGTAAAGTTTAACCCCACAAACATTTGACGTATATGTGTTTAAAATATACCATATACTACCAACTAAAGTAACTGTTTGATACGCAGTAGTTTTTCACTTCTTTAAAGCTATGTAAAGGGCTTTCTTATATTTCTGAGTATTGTTTCTGTTTGTATCCATGTGTAAGTCAAGCTTATTTAATATTCTTTGAAGTATAGCGTTGTTTGTTACGTACGGAACCATCAGTATTTTTTATTGTAAACATAATTAATATGATTTCTGTCTGCATGTGCTAATAATCATAATGATGAGAACGACAGATAAAACTGACCATTTTTTTCTCCAGCTAAAAATGCAGAAGTCAGGCTCTTGTTTATAAATATAAATATATATTTTTTCTCCCTCTTTATTAGATCTGATCCATTTTATTTCAAAGAAAATGTGTAAGGAACATGTTCAAGACTCGTCATTGTCACCATCAGAGGATGATTCTGCTCCAGTTCCAAGGTTATTGATTCAATTGATTTCGGCTCCTCTAGCTGGAATTTCATCTGCTATTATTGTTAATCCTCTTGATGTTGTTCGTGTACGAATGCAGGTGAGTTTGTTTTTTCTCATAGTACACTTTTTCACGTTATATAAGTCATTTTTCGGACTAAATTTTCTTTAAATTTTGTAGGAAATATTTTCAGTATTTTTACTTATCATTTCTGTCCAATCGTTCTCATGATATAATCAGATACTAAATTATTGTGTCTGATTGCACATCAAATATATTTTTATCATTTCGCAAAAGGTTATTTGATTTTTGTTAGTGTATGCAGTCGTCCGTATTTGTCACTGATATGCCAGTTTCCTGTACACTATCTAAGCCACATTTTCAACCAAAAGTGTTTGTATGTTTCCTCAGAAAGTTGAGTCGAATCTTCGCCTTTCCCTACTGAGAAATAAGTCTAGATTTTTTTTATTAAACTGAAGGAAATGAGGTAGAAGTAGTGTGGGGACAGGGTACACCAATTTTACTTTTATCAGTTACTAACTATTGAAATATTCGTAAGCTTATTGATAATTTTCATGACAAATCATTGTCATTCGCCATGTGATATTGAGAAAGATATGAAGTGCTTACTATGTAGTTTACTGGTCCTTATGCAATATGTGTGGTTTCCCTAATAATGTAACAAGGTCAAGCTTGTGGAATACTAACTGTAGTCTAACTACAATTGGACTATAGTGTAGGAGCCGGTGTTTCATGTGTAAACTTAAATCTTTTAATGGATATGATTACTAACTTAAAAGAAGATGGTTCGATCAAATGCTCTGTTTATTGTAGACCTACGTGAACTGGGTAGGTTCAACAGTCACTGTTCATTTAATCTAATACAAGCGAGATTTGATAAATGGTTTATTTAACGGGACCAATCATTATTTGCATAAAAGATGCTACGCTTTTATTATCAAAAACTATATCTACATCACCCTAACATTTAGAAGTGAATAGAATAGTCTCATAGTCAAACAAGGGCTTGGATCAGCGATCGGTGAAACTTATTATTGTTATTTATTTATTTCAACACAAATATTGGTACAAGGGGGCGCCGTATATATATGCGCCACACAAAAATGATATTTACTGAAAAATTCTATTCACGCTTCAATTAACAATGAAATTTATTACACAGGTAAGGTCATCATAATTAAAATAAAGAAGTTTCACTGGTTGAAATCATGAGTCAATTGAAGCTAGACCACCATGGAAAACCTGGAAGCACTGGACGGCCGTTTCGTCATGGTATGGGACTCCTCAGCAGTGCGCATCTACGATCCCGCACCCCACGGGATTCGAAGCCAGAACCTACTGGTTTCGCGCGCGAGCACTTAACCATTAGACCACTGAGCCGGCATCCAACGGTGTTAATGTCTAACTTCAACCAATCCACGAAGTTGCGCCACCGTACACCATTGTCTTCAGTGAGTTACTATCTCACAACAGACCTGGTTGAACTCCACTGGTAACGACTTCTCACTGGAACTCCAGGAGTGTCTCCTGAAGTCAGTCACTAGTGAGCAGGTAATTATTATTATGAGAATGGGTTTTGTGGAGATTTTTAGAAATTTCACTGGTTGAAACCATGAGTACCAGTAGGTCCTAGGTTCGAGTCCCGCAGGGTGCGGGATCGTGGATGCGCACTTCTGAGGAGTCCCATACCATGACGAAACGGCCGTCCAGTGCTTCCAGGTTTTCCATGGTGGTCTAGCTTCAATTGACTCATGATTTCAACCAGTGAAATTTCTAAAAGTCTCTACGAAACCCATTCTGATAATAAAATAAAGAAGTCTATTCTTTACCAAAAACCCAAATAAAGTATAAACATTTGAGTTACATCTCATTTTGTTTATCATTTTGTATATACATGTATGTATGAACACATAAGAGGAATTAGTCGTGATACACTAGTAAAGTTGGGTGAAGATAGTTAGCTATCCATCATAGATCATGGGGTTAATCTAAACTCACCCTTCGTAGTTTTGTACAAGGCGAATATTAGAATGTATTGAACCATTAACCATGCGAAAATTCATAGCACTGTTATGTACTTAAAAAATTAGTTTTTATTTAACCTAAGCCTATCTTGACGATGTTGGCTTCGATTTTGTATATCATGAGTACTGTAATCCATGTTTTTTTTTGCTTGAACATATACTTCTATTTTTCCAGATTGACCTGTCTCATTCACATATAAGTATACTAAAAGGTTTATAAAAAAACAAGTGGTTCTGAATAATATATTTGGTATTCATCTTTAATATTGTTAGGCTACTTTGGATAAATATATAATTAAGTTTCGATAATGCAATAAGAATACGAAGTTTATCAGAATTATGTGATATATTTGCGCAGTACATTTCGAACAATCTGATCACACATATACTTGTTAAGAACATTTATATGTGAAAATTATAAGGTCAACTTGACAGGTTAAGGGTAAGTTAAAGTGCACAAAAACCAACGTGATTACCACTCTGGATAATAAATCAGTATTACCAGGGTAGGTTAAGTGTAAGGATAAATTGTTTTTGAACACATAAAAGGGGTTTCAATTTCCGTATGGCCAAGGCTTCAATAAACCTTAGTATACGTCCTTGAAGGCTTTTGTATGACACTACAAATGTTGATTTGACGTCAACCTTATGACCCGTCTCAATCAAGTGTTTCGCAATGGAGGATGATGTCTGTCTATCCTGTGATCTTATTTGACCATTGGAATCCATTTGTTTCTGCAACCATTTTAGTATGTGTTCACCCACCCCTTAATTGCAAATCACGATTGCTCCTCCCTATGTAAGTGTTTCCACACATACATGTAAATTGATAGACACAATCGCATTCGTGCTGTTTGGGCTTTTGGTGAAACATAGACCTTGTCTTTTCGATAATGACAAGGCGGGCTGCATAAAATGTCCGGTTGATAGCTAATTTAAGTCTCCGTTTCAACATGAGACTTTATGGATTACCAAAAATTCGTAAGCCTAATACCCCCCTACATCCAATTCTATCAATGTGTAGGTCGGAAGTGCTCACTGCTACTGCTTCAGCCGTTTGAAGGACTTTCAGTTTGACCAGTTTTGGCAAAAATTACTGACCTTATAAATAATTGAAAAAAGATTGGTTTATACTGGCACTATGACCGGTTTGTACTAAATGGGCCAATATTGAGCTGTTCACTTTCTTCATCAAACCTTTGTTTAGCCACCCTGGAAGGTGTTCACGACCACGAAAATGTAAATTCCTAGAAATTCAAGCAATAAAACTCGCTCCACAGGAGCAGTCGAACTGATAAATACAAATTGAGGTGGTCATTCTAGGTAATTCATCTTTTAGCCTCGATGTAACCATTGGGCGCGTAGAAAATACTAATCGCAGTTCTCCGGCGTTAAAGGACTGTTGTATTGTCCTACGTAATCTCTGAGTTAGTGTTTCACTGGTCGCATCCCCTCTGAATTGTAGACGCATGAACAGGAATTTCTTCTTCACTGTTTGTATTTCGCCTTCGTGACGATATATTTAATTATAAACGTTCTAGGGTAGCCGTTCTCCTGAGAGTATTATGCAAGGTGTTAAGCTCTTGTAAAACTATATCAGCAGAACATATAGTGCGTATACGGTAACTAAGGGTCCATCCGCTCTCTTAGTCAAGAGAACATCCAAAAAGGCTATTCGGCCATCACTCTCTTCTTCAGATGTAAACTGAATGGCTGGATGCAGTCAGTCAGTAACAACGTAGAACTTCGTACGTACGTACATCAGTTCGAGTTGCCACACCACCTTAGCACAGAGATGCAGTTGTCGATTCAAATCCCGTAGTGGTAGAGGTAGCAAGAGTATAAGCAGTAATCGGGAAGATTAGGGTTTGGAGATGTTATTTAAAGAGTATAATCCAGTGAAATAAATTTGGAAAGAGGAAAAAAGGGACATGAAGAATTCAGAAGATTAGAATTTGGGATAACACAGAGAGTGGATGCACCTGAGCCATTGCAAACGATTTTGAGCCATGTCATTCAGGGTCTCTAACCATCGGTTGCTATCATCTCGTGGTCCCCAACCAGGTAGTCTACACCTACTAACATGACTCAGTCCACTTGTCAGTGACTTCATGGACTTGTGCCATGTTTTGGTTTGGCCGCCCCTAGCTTTCTTCCAACCTACTCCTATACCACTGAACATAGCACGTCGAGGCAGTCGGTCGTTGGGCATACGTAACACGTGTCCCAGCCATCTCAACTGATGAAGTTTCACTACTTCATCAATTGATTTGCCATCCTTACCTAGTACCCGTTTCCTAACAATTGTGTTACTTACTCTATGGTCCCATGATATACGAGCAATGTTTCGAAGACACCTATGATCGAATACTAGTAACCTACGAATATCCTCTACTCTTACCGGCCATGTTTCACTGCCATAAAGTAGGACGGAACGAACTGCTGCGCAGTAAACACGTCCTTTGGTTGATAGACGGATATCTCGCCTACGCCATAAATGACGCATGTTGGCCAAAGGTAGTCGAGCCTTCTGTATACGTGCTGAGATTTCGTCACACACCAAACCACAAGGGCTGATGAGACTTCCAAGATAAGTGAAGCGGTCGACACACTCAATTACTTCACTCCCTATCATTAGTTTTGGTGTCGATGCAACCCAATCCTGAAGCAACATTTTGCATTTCGAGGGGGAGAATCGCATCCCGAACATGCTAGCATTGTTGCTTAGAGTGGTCAGAAGACTGGATTTTGTCAGCGTCTTCACCAAATAGAACTATGTCATCGGCATACTCTAAGTCAACAAGTGAATCTCCCGGTATAAGTTCAACCCCTGGAAATCTAGATGAGGGAACTGTCATCTCTAAAAGCACGTCAAAAACAAAGTTGAACAAGAATGGAGAGAGTGGACAGCCCTGACGAACACCACTTGAGGTAATCAATTCTGATGACAATTCGCCATAAGTTCTCACTCGACCAGTTGTGTTCGAGTAGAGAGCCTTTACAAGGTTAATGTACTTCTTCGGTACTCCTTTCAGTGACAAACATTGCCACAGA